TTGTTATTGTTTTGTTTCCATCAAAACATTATTGAATATTGCACATACATACTTACTAAGATTTACAATATTATTATTTAAAAATATTAAAGTAAATTTGGTGGTGGTTTTTTGTTTATTTTGTCTCTTAAAATAACAAAATATATTCTCTTTTTTTATACGCTATACCGTAGCTATAACAAAAGAAAGTAAAAAACAAAGAGACAAAATAAACATATATACAAACATACATTACATATATACATTATTGTGTTTGTTGTAATTTGTGTGTTCCCTACACATTGTGAGTCGGTCTGATTAGTTCAATACTAATCAGATTCAATTTAATTAAATTTCGAGTAAAATCTTTTTGGAAAAATATTTTCGCGAATTAGCGGTCACCCTACGCTGTTAGATCCGGCATATTAGGTACAATATAGGACCTGTAAACGGAACTATTTTGTAATATTTTTTCAATTAAAAGATTTTTTATTTAACTTTTTAGAAATATTTTTTCGCAATTTAACGGCCACTCTACGCAATTAGATTCGGTATATTAGGTACATTATAGGACTTGTATACGGAATTTTTTTTCTCAATATTTTTCAACCTACGGTCAAATTAGATAATATTAGTGCAGATCGCTTACTGTTCTACTTGTTAGTTGTTCTTTTCATTGATTTGGCTTTTTCGATATTAGTTTTCCTCATTTGGCTTTTTAATTTTCCATTTTAAACAAGTTATTTGAACTTTTTCAATAATGGGCTCCACATTATGTGCTAAGTTCGCTTTAGAATGCGATAATTTAGTTGGATCTTGTTCCAAGTTTGATTTAACTCCATTGGAAAATTTAACCGAGTCACTTCTCGAGACGAAATTGCAGTCCCTTGAAGAGGACTGGCAATCAGTTCGAAAAGCCTTTGAGGATTTAATTTTAACTAATGAGAATATTATTCCTGAGAGCGAAAAATGCACGGCAAAAGTAAGATTTGGATCGGTTAAGGACGAATATCAACGTACCAAGGCTAATATGATGGACCAATTGAAGATGCACAGAGCTTCTAGTAATCAAGGTCTAAGGCCCGATCAACCGACTAACTCTACTTTTTTAATGCCACATTTAATGATTCGGAGATTTGTATAAAGGTTCCTCATTGTGATACTCAGGAATTTTATGGGGGTTATGAGGAATGGCCATCATTCCGCGATATGTTTACCGCCATTTATGGTAATCACCCTCGATTGACACAGGCTCAAAAGTTATATCATCTAAGAAATAAAACAAAGGGCGAAGCAGGTAGTATTGTAGCTAAATATCCACTTTCAGATCAGAATTATTTACTGGCGTGGGACGCGTTAAGGGCGCGATATGAGAACAAGCGCATTTTAGTAGATAATCAGTTGAAGATTCTATTTAGTATACCAGCAGCAAAGGCTGAAAATTGCGAATCTATTAACAGGATTCAAACTACCATTAGCGATTGTTTATCAATTTTAAAGGCTCATGGTATACGAACCGATCAATGGGATCCAATCCTAATATATTTGTGTTCCACAAAATTACCTGATGAAACATTAGCTCTTTGGGAGCAATCGTTGAGTTCTCCAACTCGTTTACCTTCCTGGGCAGAAATGGAAGAATTTTTAATAAATAGACATCAGGTAATGGAAAGAATATCTACATTCAGAAGTCAAAACCCAGCTTATGTTCCATATCATAATCAGGGTAGAAATTATAATATCTCTTCACAGCAGAATAAAGCTAGATATGAAAACCCGAACAAAGAAGCTCAATCGAAGAATGATGATATGCTTTGCAAATTATGTAATAAAACACATATCATTCGAAATTGTCCTAAATTTCAAAACTTTTCAGTAAAACAGAGAATTGACTATGTAGAAAAGAACAAAATTTGTAGTAATTGTTTGTCTTCAGCTCACACAAATACAAATTGTCAAAGCGTTTTTACATGTGTCCAGTGTAAGAACAAACACCACAGCTTACTTCATTTGGATAATTATTCCAATAATAAGAAGAATAAGCCAAATAAAAGCAAAACGTCCAATACGTTTCATGCTGATCCCTCTCAGCAACCGGAGGATACAATAAACCGCCAACCACCATGTAGCTCAATGTCTACAGTACACAAGACAAACACACAAACAAACTTTTCTGTCAATGATGATGACATTTTATTAGCTACAGCTCTAGTAGAAATTTTACATTTAGGAGAAGTATTTACAGTTAGAGCTCTAATAGATTCGGGATCAAAACGATCATTTTTAACTAAAAAAATATCAAAAAGGCTTGGTTTAATAACTCAAAATGCAAATTTTGAAATTTGTGGATTAGGGGGTACAGTGGTAGCAAATTCAAGTAAAATATCTACCATAACTTTGTGTAGAAAAAACCACGAGTTCTCACTCAGTACCCAAGTTATAATAGTTCCAAATTTAACCAAATTTATGCCAAGCTTTACGATTTCAAACGCTGATCTCTCAGAAATAAAACATCTAAAATTAGCTGATCCTAATTTCTTAGTATCTTCACAAATAGACATGCTAATCGGTAGTGATATAATTCCATATATCATTCAAGATGGAATACAAAAGAATATCTTAGGCAATCTCCTTGCTCAAAATTCCATCTATGGATGGTATATTTATGGCCCAATGAAATTATATAGCGTTTCTCTAACTGCTAATATTCAAAATAAGGAAGAAAATGATAAAATAAGCTCAATGCTTAAACTATTTTGGGAAACAGAAGAAATTCCAAAATCGAAAGTTCTATCAGAAACAGATCTCTACTGTGAAGAACTTTATAAAAAGACAACATATCGCAGAAGTGATGGTAGATATGTTGTAAAACTTCCTTTTAAACAAGAATTTCCAGAAAACTTGTATTTGCAATCTTCCAGAAGTCAATATATTCATCTAGAGGCAAAATTACAAAAACAAATAGATCTTCAACAGATTTATAATGATGTTTTAGAAGAATATATAACATTGGGTCATATGAGGAAAACAAATTCTTCCGAAATTTGTAAAGATGGAAAGTATTTTTCATATTATTTACCACATCATGCTGTATTTAGACCGGAAAGCACTTCTACAAAAGTTAGAGTAGTCTTTAATGGTTCTCGCAAAACGAAAAGCTCATTTTCGTTGAATGATGTATTGCATATTGGTCCAACGTTGCAATCTGACTTAATGTCAGTTATTTTAAATTGGCGTATATATAGATACGTTTTCAATGGAGATATCGAAAAAATGTATCGCCAAATATTAGTAACGGAAGCAGATTGTCCGTTTCAGAGAATTTTGTATAGAACAAAAACTTCAAGCAATATTGAAGATTACGAGCTGTTAACAGTCACTTTCGGAGTGAATTGTGCACCGTATTTAGCCATACGAACGTTGCTGCAGTTAGCAACAGATGTAGAGAGACAGTCTCCTTTGTCATCTCACATATTAAGACATGAAACATATGTCGATGATATTTTAGCTGGTGGACATACTTTGGCTTCAGCCCTAGAAGCGCAAAGTCAATTAATAAAGTCTTTAAAATCAGCTGGATTTCCACTTAAAAAAATTACGGCAAATAATAGCAAATTATTATAAAATATTCAGACTTCTTAAAACTTTACGATCCGAGCTCTACGAAAACGTTAGGTATTCAGCTTATTATTATAAAATATTCAGACTTCTTAAAACTTTACGATCCGAGCTCTACGAAAACGTTAGGTATTCAGTGGAATGCATACAGTGATTCCTTCACTTATAAAGTCGAAATTCCCGATTTCGCATCAAAAGTAACAAAAAGAACAATTTTATCCGCGGTCGCTAAATTGTTTGACCCCGCAGGGTGGCTAACGCCCATTATTGTTCAAGCAAAGATCCTTCTACAGGAATTGTGGCAAGATGGGGTCGAATGGGATGAAGATGTGAAACCTCAGACTCTTTCAAGGTGGAACATTTTCTTAGAAGATTTTATACACATAAGATCCATTCAAATCCCCAGATGAATCCATTTCCATCCAGATAGCAAAATCCAGATCCATGGTTTCTGTGATGCATCTGAACAGGCCTATTGTGCAACAATATACATTCGAGTGGAAGATTTGTCTGGCAGACATTCTAATCTGCTAGTAGCGAAAAGCAAAGTTGCGCCGTTGCAACGTGTAAGTCTTCCTCGGTTAGAGTTATGTGGGACATTACTGCTCTCGAAACTAATTAAACAAACTCTAACTAACAATTCATTTAAAAGTGATCAACTTTTCCTGTGGTCAGATTCCACTATAGTATTAGCATGGTTACAAAAGCATCCATCAGTTTGGAAAACATATGTTGGCAATAGAACATCTCAAATCATTGAAAATGTTGGTAATGCTAAGTGGAACCACGTTTTAACCCATGAAAATCCAGCAGATCTTGGAACACGAGGTTGTAAACCACAAGATCTTAAAGAAAATCCTTTATGGTGGTATGGACCAATGTGGCTACTTGACTCCCAAGACAATTGGCCTAAATCTAACCCACCTGCCATAGCTCTTATGGAACAAAGGAAAGTTGAAGTTCACTGTTCCGTTACAGATGAACTCAATATAATACAAAGATTTTCTTCATATCGGCGAGCCCTCGCCGTAATAGCATATATTTATAGGTTCATACGTTCTACTAATAAAAGATTACAGAAAACTAAGTTTGAAAGTTTAACGCTCTCTCACGAAGAGCTTAATAACGCAAAAATTGTATATATTAGACTAACGCAGAAGTTTCATTATTCTGAATATTTAAAGAATCTTTCGGATTCTAAGCATATTTCAAGGAAAAGCTCTCTGCTTACTCTAAATCCATTTCTCGACGCTCAAGGTCTTATGCGGGTTAATGGTAGATTAGCTAATGCCCCGCTTACGTACGATGAGCGATTTCCCATAATTATCCTTAACTCTTCTCAATTTTGCAAAATTTTTCTGGAGTTTGTCCACAAAACTCTAGTCCATGCTGACATAACCCTTATGATGAGCGCAGTAAGAAGCCAGTTCTATATTCCTGGTTTAAAAAGAACAGTCAAGAAATGCGTTCATCATTGTCTAACCTGTGTTCGTTACAAACAACAAGTGAAATCGCAAATAATGGCTGCACTGCCAAAAGAGAGATCCACTCTCTCATTACCGTTCTCACATACGGGTGTCGACTTTGCTGGTCCATTTCAGATCAAGTCTGGCAATTTGCGAAATTCACCATATATGAAAGGTTACGCATGTATCTTTGTATGTTTTGCTACAAGAGCCATTCATTTAGAAGCTTGCTCTAGTTTAACATCAGAAGCATTTCTAGCTGCTTTTGCACGATTTATAGCTAGGCGAGGATTGCCAAAATCAGTTATGTCGGACAATGGTACAAATTTCATAGGCGCTAGTAAGTCATTGCTAAAGGAGTATTCGTTATTTCTTAAACAATCCTCCAAGGATATAACAGATAAATATGCAATTAATGGACTTGAGTGGAAGTTCATTCCACCTAGCGCCCCGCATATGGGAGGTTTATGGGAAGCTGGCGTTAAAAGCTTCAAAATCCACTTCAGGAAAATTGCAGGCGCACATAAATTTAATTTTGAAGAGTTCTCTACTCTGCTTGCGCGAATAGAAAGTGTTCTAAATTCACGACCAATATCACCGATGTCAGAAGACCCAGATGACCTGCAGGCCCTTACTCCGAGTCATTTTCTGCGCGGTGCACCTTTGGTATTCGCGCCAGAAATACCGCCTGACAATTTGTCGTTATTGAATCGCTGGGAACGACTGAAAGCACTCCATCATAAATTTGGTCAACGATGGAAAAATGACTACCTTCAGGAGCTACACAAGAGGTACAAATGGCAGAATCCACGACGGGATCTACAGACTGGTGATTTCGTTATCATCAAGGATGAGCTTCTTCCTCCATGCGACTGGAGGTTAGGCAGAATAGAAGCCGTACACGTTGGTCGGGATAAGCGCGTAAGAGTCGCTGATGTTAGAACATCTAGTGGCGTCGTGACCCGACCAATAGTAAAATTATGCATGCTCCCGTTATGTGAAAAGTCTGTAGATTAGTTTGTTCTTGTCCATACAATGTCGTGTCTATGTGTCCAAAGCTATTTTTTTCGACCTTAATCTGCCTCTGTTCTTTGTATTTTAATCTCATTCCAGAATGGATCCAGCCCAAAACCCAGAGTTGTGCGTTGTGTGTTTTGCATATCACCCATTGAGATATTGCAAGATGTTCCGTAAGTTGACATTGGAGCAACGAATTTATGTGGTGAGAACCCATAAGTATTGCTCCAATTGCTTCTCGCGGACTCATCTGATAGGTAGCTGTATCTCAATGGGTGCATGCCAAATATGTTGCGATTTGCACCACACATTGCTGCACCCAAGGACTGCTGCTCAGGGGCCAAGGCAAGGACAACCACAACAGCTACGCCAGCGCGCTCGCAGAAGCCTCCCCAACCCTCCTCAACAGAGAGCTCAACAGCGTCAACGCCTCCGTCAACGCCTACAACAACAGCAGCAGGTTATCCAACAGCAACAACAACAGCTACAGCAGCAACAACGACAACAACGGCAACGACAACAACTACAGCAACAATCTCAGCGGCAGCCACAACGTCGCCAACAGCAACTGCCCCGACCCCAACAACGACAGCGCCAACAACTTCAACCACAAGCCATAGCCGTTCCTCAGCCTGCGGCAGCGCCAGCCTCAACCCAGGGGCTGGTCAATCAAATTGTTTCAGCCCTCAGCCAGCTGACAGGGTCCACAATTGCACCAGTGCAAGGAGGCCGGCATGTCGAAGTCCGGTTAGGCCGCGTTGAAGACGATTTGATCGATCTCCATGACGATCTTATCGACTTCGACGACGGCCTTACCGACCTTGACTGAAGGTCTCCAAACACTTCCTAAAGGCAATGTTTTAGGAAGTGTTACGAGCAAGCCGGGCTTGGCGCCGAAGAAGATCGGCTAATTTTTATTAAAAAACAAAACCGAACGACTCCCGGTCATAGTGGTGTTTTTAAATTCAAAAAAAATAATAAAAAAACGCACTCCCGGTGCTTCAATTATTTGAAAAAACAAAAAAAAAAAAGTGTTTCAATTCCCACCAACCAACACGTAAGTAGAAATAAAATTCTCTATTTTATTTGTGTGCATAGTTCAATTCTGTTATTGAACAACTTTGTTAATTTCTTAACAAAGTAAAAACAAAAGCAACAAATCTCCAAAATAAGAGTTGGAATTTGTTTACACACGATCAAGACAATTGGTTACAAATCCTATTGAAAAAATTAATTAATATTGTTGATAACAATCACTCACTGTCAAGTAATGTATGAAATAACTACATCACTCATAACCAAATGTATAATTATGCACAAATAATTATACATATATTTACATGTAAAAACAAAAGCAACAAATCTCCAAAATAAGAGTTGGAATTTGTTTACACACGATCAAGACAATTGGTTACAAATCCTATTGAAAAAATTAATTAATATTGTTGATAACAATCACTCACTGTCAAGTAATGTATGAAATAACTACATCACTCATAACCAAATGTATAATTATGCACAAATAATTATACATACATTTACATTTTTCTGCAAAAGTGATTCAAATTCTTATAGATTTTATTCCAGTATACCAAAGTTATTAGACCTATTCTGAATAAAAATTCCCTAGGTTATGTATGTAAAAACAATATTGTGATTTTTACTTACAACTAGGTCTTAACTAACATACAATATACATTAAAACTTTGATAACTTAAAATCTAATTATTTACGGATCTTTTTCTCCAGGGTAACTTCTCCTTCTTCTGGGACGGATCTCCTGGTTACTTTTCTCTACCAGTGTATTATTATTGTTGATATGGGATTTTATATTATTTTTTTGATCGCATCAATATCAGTTCATAGTTTTTCTTTCTATCAATTATTATCATTAATATTTCAGGCGAATTTTGGCGACATTAGTTTATATAAATAAATTACTCATTTACAACGCTATGTTTCCGATTTATACATACACATATCTAAGCGTTAATAAATCTCATTCTTTGCTATCTTTGCTTTATTCAATTGTACAGCACACAGTCTCTTGATATATGTATAATATTGTATTTTATTCTTTTGAATTTTAAAGTCTGGATTTTACTGCCGCTTATTATTATTATTATTATTTCAACGTATTTTCTTTGATTTTTTTTTTTTTGTTCACAAAATAAATGTTTTTTTAGAATTTTTACTAAATTTGTTATTTCTTCACAAATTTATTTTTCTTTTTATTTATAAAAATAAAACAGTCTTTTCAAATTTTAATTTCTATCGGCATTCCGTCCCGTGTTGTTCAACCGTCACGAATCTTCTTTTCTCGTGCAAAACAAAACCAAAAATTCTCCTTCTTTTTCTCTAAAGATGCCTTATATATCTCCCTGAATACTTCCATTGTACGGAAATTCTCCCATTTTTTATTTAAAAACAAGTAAGAAAGTATAGTCGGACGTGACCGACCATATGATACCCTACACCAGTTATGAATATTAAATGTGATTTATTTTTCATAATAAAGCATTTATCTTCTATTACCTTGTTCCGATACATTTAAGTAATTTATGGATGAAAAACTAATTTTCTGAAAGAGGCTTTATATGGGGGCTAGGGGCAAATATGGACCAAGCCTGATAAAATTTTGTGAATATATTTATATGTACATAATATTTTACTGTGCTGAATTTCATCGCGATATTTGTGTTTGATGCCTTATATATCTCCCTGAATACTTCCATTGTACGGAAATTTTCCCATTTTTTATTTAAAAACAAGTAAGAAAGAATAGTCGGACGTGACCGACCATATGATACCCTACACCAGTTATGAATATTAAATGTGATTTATTTTTCATAATAAAGCATTTATCTTCTATTACCTTGTTCCGATACATTTAAGTAATTTATGGATGAAAAACTAATTTCTGAAAGAGGCTTTATATGGGGGATAGGGGCAAATATGGACCAAGCCTAATAAAATTTTGTGAATATATTTATATGTACATAATATTTTACCGTGCTGAATTTCATCGCGATATTTGTGTTTATAAGTTAATTTTGGACATTTAAGTAATTGTTCCGATATATTTAAGCAATTTATGGATGAAAAACTAATTTTCTGAAAGAGGCTTTATATGGGAGCGAGCTATGGGCAAATATGGACCAAGCCCGATAAAATTTTGTGAATATATTTATATTTACATAATATTTTATTGTGCTGAATTTCATCGTGATATTTGTGTTTATAAGTTAATTTAGGACATTCAAGTAATTTTCTGAAGGGGACATTGTTTGGGAGCTAGGGTCAAATGAGGCCCGATCTCTATGAAATTTGGCAAGGTCATCAAGGCTTGTGTATAAACTTAGTTGTGCCGCTTTTTATCAATATACAGGTATATTTAACATAATTATGAGCTCAGAAGCCCTTTTCGGGGGGTTCAGTTTTATAGGGGCTAGGTGAAATAATGGACCGATTTTAACCATTTTCAATAGACTTCGTCCTCATCCAATTATCTTGAAAATTGCGACCTGCACCTTGCGCTTAATCGACTCAGAAAACGATTCTAAGCCGATTGGTATACTTTAAGGTGGGTATAGGACGAATATTTTTGTATGTTACAAACATCAGCACAAACCCAATATACCCTTCCCACTAAAGTGGTGTAGGGTATAAAAAACATTTTCAAAGAAACAACTCCTATATATTTAATTGAACTACCTCCTTTTTCCTCCGCTCTATGTTCATTCTCACCTAATTTTCAAACTAATTTTCTGAAAGAGGCTTTATATGGGGGCTAGGGGCAAATATGGACCAAGCCTGATAAAATTTTGTGAATATATTTATATGTACATAATATTTTACTGTGCTGAATTTCATCGCGATATTTGTGTTTGATGCCTTATATATCTCCCTGAATACTTCCATTGTACGGAAATTTTCCCATTTTTTATTTAAAAACAAGTAAGAAAAAATAGTCGGACGTGACCGACCATATGATACCCTACACCAGTTATGAATATTAAATGTGATTTATTTTTCATAATAAAGCATTTATCTTCTATTACCTTGTTCCAATACATTTAAGTAATTTATGGATGAAAAACTAATTTCTGAATTTATTTAAAAACAAGAACGACTCCCGGTCATAGTGGTGTTTTTAAATTCAAAAAAAATAATAAAAAAACGCACTCCCGGTGCTTCAATTATTTGAAAAAACAAAAAAAAAAAAGTGTTTCAATTCCCACCAACCAACACGTAAGTAGAAATAAAATTCTCTATTTTATTTGTGTGCATAGTTCAATTCTGTTATTGAACAACTTTGTTAATTTCTTAACAAAGTAAAAACAAAAGCAACAAATCTCCAAAATAAGAGTTGGAATTTGTTTACACACGATCAAGACAATTGGTTACAAATCCTATTGAAAAAATTAATTAATATTGTTGATAACAATCACTCACTGTCAAGTAATGTATGAAATAACTACATCACTCATAACCAAATGTATAATTATGCACAAATAATTATACATATATTTACATGTAAAAACAAAAGCAACAAATCTCCAAAATAAGAGTTGGAATTTGTTTACACACGATCAAGACAATTGGTTACAAATCCTATTGAAAAAATTAATTAATATTGTTGATAACAATCACTCACTGTCAAGTAATGTATGAAATAACTACATCACTCATAACCAAATGTATAATTATGCACAAATAATTATACATACATTTACATTTTTCTGCAAAAGTGATTCAAATTCTTATAGATTTTATTCCAGTATACCAAAGTTATTAGACCTATTCTGAATAAAAATTCCCTAGGTTATGTATGTAAAAACAATATTGTGATTTTTACTTACAACTAGGTCTTAACTAACATACAATATACATTAAAACTTTGATAACTTAAAATCTAATTATTTACGGATCTTTTTCTCCAGGGTAACTTCTCCTTCTTCTGGGACGGATCTCCTGGTTACTTTTCTCTACCAGTGTATTATTATTGTTGATATGGGATTTTATATTATTTTTTTGATCGCATCAATATCAGTTCATAGTTTTTCTTTCTATCAATTATTATCATTAATATTTCAGGCGAATTTTGGCGACATTAGTTTATATAAATAAATTACTCATTTACAACGCTATGTTTCCGATTTATACATACACATATCTAAGCGTTAATAAATCTCATTCTTTGCTATCTTTGCTTTATTCAATTGTACAGCACACAGTCTCTTGATATATGTATAATATTGTATTTTATTCTTTTGAATTTTAAAGTCTGGATTTTACTGCCGCTTATTATTATTATTATTATTTCAACGTATTTTCTTTGATTTTTTTTTTTTGTTCACAAAATAAATGTTTTTTTAGAATTTTTACTAAATTTGTTATTTCTTCACAAATTTATTTTTCTTTTTATTTATAAAAATAAAACAGTCTTTTCAAATTTTAATTTCTATCGGCATTCCGTCCCGTGTTGTTCAACCGTCACGAATCTTCTTTTCTCGTGCAAAACAAAACCAAAAATTCTCCTTCTTTTTCTCTAAAGATGTGTTTGATGCCTTATATCTCCCTGAATACTTCCATTGTACGGAAATTCTCCCATTTTTTATTTAAAAACAAGTAAGAAAGTATAGTCGGACGTGACCGACCATATGATACCCTACACCAGTTATGAATATTAAATGTGATTTATTTTTCATAATAAAGCATTTATCTTCTATTACCTTGTTCCGATACATTTAAGTAATTTATGGATGAAAAACTAATTTTCTGAAAGAGGCTTTATATGGGGGCTAGGGGCAAATATGGACCAAGCCT